GTGTGGCTGCTGAGCTGATCGACTCCACGGAAGATTCTCTCCATCCTCTCGATCTCGCTCCTCATGTCTCGCTGCAGCTGCTGGAAGAGACTTTCGCCGCGGGGGTTCCAGACCGGCCAGCATGGCCAGACGCTCCTCTCCATCACGTGCATCGCAGGGAAGTAAACACTCAGGGCCATGCTTGTTTGTTGATGTGCTTCACAGTGAGGCTCGCTTGACTCGCGTGAGCTGTGTGCGCTGCTCCCTCCTTCGATGATGCTCTGCCAGTGCAGCTACAGGAGCTGCTTTTATAGCCCTGGCCGTGCTGACGTGCAGATGCCAGGGGAAGCTAGAAGCGTCCAGAATGACGCAGCTGCTCCCAGGGGCTTCCCTCATCGGCACAGAATCAAGAGCGTGACTCGTGTCTCAGGCTGCAGTCTTTAAGCAGTTTACTGCCATGGAATTCACTCTGCATTGATAATTCACTCTGCACTGATAATTCACTCTGTACTGAAAATTCACTCTGCACTGATAATTCACTATGTAACACGATATTTGTTCCTGGGTAGTAAGTGTTATTTTCTAATTGCTTATGTCTCAAAAGTATAGAAAATGGCTATTATTCACCACAAACTTTCCTTTTGTGACCAGGACTTTACGTGAAGGAATAACTCAAATGCACACGTTTTCTCATTGAAAATAGGTAAATTTCTAAATATCAATGTCCTGGTCAAAATTGCAAAGTTTGTGGGGAATAATAGCAATTTTCTATACTTTTGAGGGATAAGCAAATAGGAAGTAACACTTACGACCCAGGAACAAACTAAAGAATTTCGTCACACAGTGATATAATGAATGTAAAACAGATTGATGTGCTATTCTATATTGAATTGAAATTACTACACTTTGAATGGTGAAACAAACCGACACTTACATTCTCGCTTACACAGCACAATGACATCATCAGCCTTATCAGGAAAGACTGAGGCACACAGTGAGATGAGCAAAGCCAACGAATGTCTTACTTTAAACTTTATTAATGCAAACTATGAATTCTGCACAATGTTATTTTTAAAATTTACGTAATGCTAAAGTTGACAGCATGAACTGAATGCTATTGTAGTGAACTTGTCGCAGAATGCATCCTGAGACATGAGTCACTGATATTTTCTGCGGATGAGGGAAGCCCCTGGGAGCAGCTGCGTCATTCTGGACGCTTCTGGCTCCCCCTGGCATCTGCTCGTCAGCACTGCCAGGGCTATAAAAGCAGCTCCTGTAGCTGCACTGACAGAACATCGGTAGAGGAGGGAGCAGCGGTCACAGCAGAAGCGAGCCTCACTGCGAAGCACATCAACAAGCATGGCCCAGAGTGTTTACTTCCCTGCGATGCACGTGATGGAGAGGAGCGTCTGGCCAGGCTGGCCGTTCTGGAACCCCCGCGGTGAAAGTCTCTTCCAGCAGCTGCAGCGAGACATGAGGAGCGAGATCGAGAGGATGGAGAGAATCTTCCGTGGAGTCGATCAGCTCAGCAGCCACACGTGGGCTCCGGGCAGCCTCGGAGACGCACTGCTGCAGCAGCCGGCCGTGAGCAGTGGGTTCCAGATTGAAGATCCACAGGAGCAGGGAGACGGGTTTGTCGCGTCCCTGGACGTGCAGGACTTCTCCCCACAGGACCTGGCCGTGAAGGTGTCTGGAAACAAGCTGGTGGTGGCTGGACGGCGCGATGTGAAGAGCGGAGAAGTCAGCAGCGGCAGCTACAGCCACAGCTGCCAGGAGTTCCACAGGGAGACGCAGCTGCCCAGGGACGTGGACCCTCAGAGCGTGAGCTGCTGCTTGACCCAAGACGGGAAGCTGAAGGTCAAGGCTCAGCGCCGCGCCCTCCCTGCAGCGGCCGAGAGGGTGGTGGCCATTGAGCAGCCAGCGACATCGACTCCTGGCACGGCCTCTCAGTCCACTGGCTCCACTCACGCGTAGAATGGCGCCTGGAGCATCCATTCCAGTATTCTGCTTCATGGATGTTTTACTTACATGGATATTTTGTTAAATCGGTTTCTATTCACGATATGTTCACTAATATTTACGTTTTCAGCGTTCACATTCAAATCCATTGGAGTAAGTATATCGCTGTTCATGATTGTCAAATTGTGTTGCATCGTTTTAATATCCCATTACACGTTCATATATTGCAATAAGATAATGCTGAATGTTATCTTAAAGTATTTTTCATCGTTATACATTGCTATTTTTCACATAGTATACATTTCTAACTGAATCTAAATTTGTATTGACAATACTGTACTGTTCTTGGCAATGGTATTTGACGAATGTTTTTATATATATAATAAAATGCCTTTCAATTTCATGCAACAGTTGCACTGTTCTTTTTGTCTGCATTGTGTTTGTTTCATCGTTACTGTGGATCAGAGTTCTGGACACAGAATTCCCCAAAACTAAGACAACCGGTAACGCCGCCTCATTGCTCTGTGATGCCACCGCCACGAAGCCATTTGGCAGGCGCCCCATCTGCGACCTCGCCACCACCAAGCGACGGAGCCAACCCCTCGTCCCCCTCACCTCACCTCACATGAACACACCCGCACGCATTCCCCCCCCCCCCCCCCCCATAGAGCTGGAATGGAAGGTCACCTGATCGACCGGTTTTTATCCGAGAAATCCTTATCGGGATTAACTCTCACGGTTTCCAGCGATCAGGGAATTGGACGACCTCCCCCGACGCTACCTTGCACCGCGGCGCTGCAACTGGCCTTAAGATGGTATGGCTGCGGCGAAGGGCATTCGGCCACCACGGTTGAAACGCATCCCTCACACACACCTGCCAAGTCACTCCGCACTCAGAATTGGGGCCGGGGTTGCAATGATCTACGTGAAATGTTACCACAAATGCCATTTCAGTTATATCGTCCTTCAACTGTTAACAAATCATACTGTTGTAATGCGAGCGTAAATGGGGTTGCTGCTGGACTCTGGCCCAATCACACGACCCTTGGTATTGGGGGCGGAGCCCGGTATGGGGGGCGTGTGAGAGGGGCCGCCGTTCACCTCGGCTCCAATGGGAAGCGAGGTGAATGGAGGTGGAGCCAGCAGGGCAGTATGGGAAGGCCGGAGCTGACGATCCGGATGGGAGGAGTCAGGGTCACGTGGGAGAGAGGTTATAGAGGGGAGCCCAGAAGAGATCGAGGCCAGTTGATGGAGTGAAGAAGCGGGACCACGTTGGGTGGCCGCCGTGCCATCAGAAAAGTGACTTTACCGAAAGAACCAAGAAGATGAATCCCTGAGGTCACGAAAGCTTTAAATCGAAAAATAACTCTGTTATTTATGGCTTTGGGCTGTTGCCAACAAAAGTAGCTGGGCAACAGGCTACACGGATTTGCCGTGTAACAAATTAACGTGACGATTAGTTGAAATGGTAGAAGATGTTCAGAAGACAATCGGGGCACCAAAAAGGTGGGAATTACCAAAACAGTATCGAGGAATGACACGGTTTATTTAAAATAGCACGTTCAATTAATGCGCCTTTTAATGTCATGTTTTTGGAAAACTTTTTTTATCTTAGAGAATATTAAAACAACCTTAAGACATTAAACTAGTACAATGAAAAAAATTACGCTTTATTTTAAAATTAGCAAAATAAAGAAACGATCTAATTATTATACTGTTATAGTTTATCTTTCTGAATACACATTTAATGAAAATGTCATTAAGTAAATGGATGTTTTTGAAGGTGATTTCGTGTAAATGCTTTCCAAAGCTACTTTTGCAGCCGTCACCATCTCCAGCCAAGATTTCTCCACTTCTGTACGAAGCCATCAACATCTCTTGCGGATTTGCAATGCAAAAATCGTCTGGCTCATGCCCACAGGTTGATTTATTTGCTACATCTTCGCAGTGGACGCTCTGTCGGTTGCGTTCCCTCCTTTAGCTCCCATTCCCACGTTTGTCTCGACCACCGGCCGTCATCCCTTCAAGTTGTGTGTCCTGCCTCACCCCACCTTTCGAAACTAAAATGATGCCTTTAATTTGCATATGATATCCAATTGACGTGTCCTGCTTCCAGTCTCAGTTAAATTCCTTGCATGTGCATGTCTACGCTTCCTTGTGCACTTCTCAACATTGGCTCCATTGTCTTCGTCAATGGCCATGTTTGTGGTGAGTCTGTTATTGCAGGTCATGTCCACTGATTAACGAGAATTCTGCTTAAGGCATAATGCTTTCTTACGTTTCATTATTATGTTCAGATTGCAATCAACACTTTGCTCTGCCCTGATACGTCTCTGAATCATTTTCATCCCTCTCCCCCTTCAACAACCGCCCTACGTGTAAATGCACTTCTGTGTTTTCAATCTGTGTCCCTGCTCTTTTTGCGTTCAGTTTGTTATTCCCCCGCACCTCCAATAAGCATGGTTGGCTGCGTACGGTGCGAAAGAAGTTCACCATGTAAACATACACTGCGTTGAAACATGACCCTACTGCATATTCACACTGGAGACACAGGAGGGTGTTGCTATTAGATTTCCAACTTTTAATCGTAGACCAAACCTGGATAGATTTCTCAGTTAGCACTCGGTCTATAATTATCAGAACTACACAGTAAACGACAATAACAATCAACACAATAAGGGTGCTATATCTCAGTATAAATACCTACAACCTGAACACAGATGGTAATTCCCGGACAGGTGACAACTCTCGCCCTGCCCATGCAAACATACACAACATCCTGACCATGAATCGGCTATGCGGCTGATTAAATGTCAAGCATTGGAGATTTTATTCTGATCCAATTCTGTTCGTTTTGATTGATTTTGGCGCAGTTTAAAACATATTTTTATATCAGTATTTACTTAACTGCACTCATGTTAATTCTGCTGTACTCAGCTCGCCATTCCTTTAAAAATAATTAAAAATTCTGATTAATAATTAAACATCCTCGGTTGTGCGTCCTGAGGTTCAGTATACAAACTGGACTTAGAACATTTGGTTTTATGCAACAAAAACTTTATTTCAAAATGTCTTTTTTTAAAATGTACGGACAAAAGTCACAAATCAAACGTTCTATATTATATTGAATGTGTACTGCATACAATGTTAATAGTAAGTGCTCAAAGTAGGAACGTACATGTACAACTAAATAACGAAATTCGAGTGTAAACAATAAATTGCTTAAAATATTGTACATATTGTTGCCCCATGAAATAAAACATTCTTAATTTAATGAGTCGCATTCAAAATAACGTCCAGTAAGATGTTAAAATTACTGTTAAGATACGACACATGACATGCCTTTTAACATTCTTATGATGACTTAAAATACAAAATTCATGACACTGTATCAAACTGAATTCCAGCACGAATACTGTTTAAATAGTCAGACACGGGAATGGATGCTCCAGGCGCCACTCTACGCATGAGTGGAGCCAGTGGACTGAGAGGCCGTGCCAGGAGTCGATGTCGCTGGCTGCTCAATGGCCACCACCCTCTCGGCCGCTGCAGGGAGGGCGCGGCGCTCAGCCTTGACCTTCAGCTTCCCGTCTTGGGTCAAGCAGCAGCTCACGCTCTGCGGGTCCACGTCCCTGGGCAGCTGCGTCTCCCTGTGGAACTCCTGGCAGCTGTGGCTGTAGCTGCCGCTGCTGACTTCTCCGCTCTTCACCTCGCGCCGTCCAGCCACCACCAGCTTGTCTCCAGACACCTTCACGGCCAGGTCCTGTGGGGAGAAGTCCTGCACGTCCAGGGACGCGACGAACCCGTCTCCCTGCTCCTGTGGATCTTCAATCTGGAACCCACTGCTCACGGCCGGCTGCTGCAGCAGTGCGTCTCCGAGGCTGCCCGGAGCCCACGTGTGGCTGCTGAGATGATCGACTCCACGGAAGATTCTCTCCATCCTCTCGATCTCGCTCCTCATTTCTCGCTGCAGCTGATGTAAGAGACTTTCACCGCGGGGGTTCCAGACCGGCCAGCCTGGCCAGACGCTCCTCTCCACCACGTGAATCGCAGGGAAGTAAACACTCAGGGCCATGCTTGTTAGTTGATGTGTTTCACAGTGAGGCTCGCTTGAGCTATGAGCGCTGCTTCCTCCTCCGCCGATGTTCTGCCAGTGCAGCTACAGGAGCTGCTTTTATAGCCCTGGCAGTGCTGACGGGCAGATGCCAGGGGGAGCCAGAAGCGTCCAGAATGACGCAGTTGCTCCCAGGGGCTTCCCTCATCCACAGAAAATATGAGTGACTCGTGTCTCAGGTTGCAGTCTGCGACAAGTTCGCTACAATAGCATCCAGATCACGCTGTCAACTTTAGCATTACGTATATTTTAAAAATAACATTGTACAGAATTTATAGTTTGCATTAATAAAGTTAAAGTAAGACATTCGTTGGCTTTGCTCATCTCACTGTGTGCCTCAGTCTTTCCTGACAAGGCAGATGATGTCATTGTGCTGTGTAAGCGAGCATGTAAGTGTCGGTTTGTATCACCCTTCAAAGTGTAGTAATTTAAAGTAAATATAGAAGAGCACATTACTCTCTTTTACATTCATTATATCACTGTGTAACGAAAACATGTGTTTTTTTTCCTGGGTAGTAAGTGTTTCTTCCTAATTGCTTATTCCTCAAAAGTATAGAAAATGACTATTATTCCCCACAAACTTTGCAATACTGTGATAATGCACTGTTTTTGAGTTGTACGCCTTTTGGTGTCATCTGGTCCAACACCAATGGAGTCTAGGCTCTAAAGAAAGCTGTCTCGGGTGTGGACCAATCAACTTCAAGACATTGCATATAATTATCATCATCAGAGTTGTTTCTTTTTGTTTGCATTTTGACTACTTGTGTTGTGGTTATTGCAAACATGATGCCTTGTATAAAGGTGTCAGTTTTGTACCAGTTTAAAGGGTAAGACCTACTATATTTTGCCACTGGTAAAGGAGGTCTCAGTGTAAAAAGTGTAGTATTGGAAGCGCAGCAGCTCCTCCAACCTCGTCTCCCATCGTTGCCTTGTAGGAATGCAGTACATACTACTGATGTTATAATAAATTATTTTAGTAATTAAATAAGGTTTAATAATCTTATTTCATAATAATGTATGAATTATTATTATGAGTGCTATTGTAGAGGTGTAATTGTGTAGATGTATCGGCACGGATGGCTAACAAACACAAGGGGCATGGTTAGGGCCGTACACAGAGGAGGTGCTCACACCGACGTCCGCACCTGCATCCCCCACGGGCCCCTCCCAGGGTCCGAGTGCTATAAAAGGTGGTGAGCCGGAGGGCTCGAGGTCGAGTATTAGCTTCAACCAGTGAAGAGTGAAGACCAGCTAGAATAGGCCCCGGAGCTCCCCTGGCTCGCTGTCCTTGTCAGGGCCGACCAGCGCAAGCCGGTGGCGTGGCCCCGAGAGCCCAGACTGACGTTCTTATAAGAGCCGGTCTGGAGACTCAGGGTGCCGGGATCCCAGCTTGACCAGGGCTGGGATAGGTAGCCTCCCCTAGCTCCGTAGTGGAGGACTCGGGCGTAGGTTAGCGGGGTTAGACGTTGTGTCTCCCTGTTAGACGAGTGAAGGGGACGATACCCCTTCAAGTGCTGGGTGTACCCGTTACTGTACACAAGTTGGTATTAATAAATAAGTGTGCCTCCGACCCCGTCGTCCAAGCCTCTTGCAACTTACTACATCTGGGGTCAGAAGTGATCGTGAAACAATGGACACACGAAGGACGACACGTACCAGGGAGTCGGAGATGGAGGACACCTCGGGCCGACTCGGCACCAGAGATGGCCGAGGTCGGATCCGAGCAGCCGGGGCCGAGTACACCCGCGCCGCTACGACAGGAAGGGTGGGATATGTCGGCCGAGGGACTTCGGCTGGCTCACTCCCGCCTGGCGGAGCTGCTCTACGCTGCAGCCACCACGTTGGAGGAGATCACGCGGCTGGGGGCTGGAGGGGCTGCACGGGACGACGATGGCATACCGACGCGCGGCGCCGTTTCACGCCACCCCGACGCGGCTCGCAGTCAAATTTCCCGCCATCGCTACAGTGGGTGCAGAGGGCGGGGCCGGCCCGCGTCAGGTGACCGCCGAGGGCCAAGCACAAGCCGTGACATCATCAACACCGGCCAGCGTGTCGACAACGGAGCGACCGGCGATGCCATATGCGCAGCCCGCCCACACTGTACAGAGCGCCGGGAACGACGGAGCGCGATCCGCAGCCACGGACGTCGCGTTACAGCAGCGACTGCTCCCTCTCAAAGAATTCATGGGCACGGACGGGGACTGGGGCGGATTCAAGAGACGGTTCATCGCTCATCAGGACATGGCGAACTGGACGGACGCCGAAGAACTACGTGCGCTGCCGGCGATGCTGGACAACGACGCCCTGGCTACCCTCACCTCGGCGCCTAAGGAAAAGCACGCCACACTGCACTTGGCGCTGCAGCTGCTGTCCGCTGTCTACGGCCCGCCTTCGGACTGCAGGCAGCTGTTCCACGATCGTCATCGGGGCGCCAACGAATCGCCCCTGGCTTTCCGGACGGCTCTCCTGGCCCTGGCGAAGGCAGCTTTTCCGCGGATGGACAAGGAGGGAGTGGACGCTATGGTGGCAGAAAAGCTGTTGCTACTCGCGGATGAGCTGGACGTCGCCATCTTGGCTCAAGACAACACAGAGATGTCTTCCTTGCTGGTCGCGCGCCACATCCACGGGGGATTGCGGTCCCTGCGTCGCAAGGCCACCAAGGGGGTGGCCGGCCATGCCATGGCGGCTCCCGCCCTCCCATCGGAGGAGGTCTGCGGGGTGGAGCGGCGGGGGGAATGGAGATCTGCAGGAACACAGGCTCGGAACGGACCGAGCCGCCAGGAGCAGCCCAGGCCATCCGGGGCGCTCACACGCTGCTACAACTGTGGCCTTCAAGGCCACGTGGCTTCAGGATGCCGGGCTCCTCGTCAGCGTGGGGCGACACCTCATCAGGACGCCGCGCCGCCCCCACCCAAGCTCCAGCAGAGAAATACGGCGAGTTGTGGCATCTCACACGTTAGGCCCGTGCACACATCTGTCACACACTCACTCGCTGAAACATACACGGCTCGAAATTCGCCGGGCGTTGCGTCAGATTGTTCTGAAATGCGGCGAGCGCTCCAACCGGGCCAGTGGTCGGAGCTCGCCCATCGTGTCGTTGCAGCGTCGGCGGGGTCGTCTGTCGTGGTCGGTCACATAGATGGGGTTGAGGTGCGGATTTTAATTGACACGGGAGCATCGGCGACCATTATATCTGATTTGATTTATAACATCCTTCCCGTTCAAAGCCGTCCTTTGCTCCCCGTTGACGTGCCATGCTATGCTGCTAATGGGGGCTCGCTGGGCATCATTGGGCAGATCCGCGCCAAAATTTGCATTGGGGACATTAAATTATCCGGGCCTGTATTGGTTTCCTCCGCGCTGGCGGTTCCGTGCCTGTTGGGGACGGATTTCTTGGCCAAAATGCCTATCCGTATATTGATCGACCAGGGGTGCATCGAACTCCCGTCGGGCCGACGTGTAACATTTTTGTCTTCCCCCGCCACGGAGCGTCGGGCATTTGCGACCGTGCAGGCGCTCGTGGCGAGAACTGTACTCGTACCCCCGGGAGCTCAGATGCTCATCCCTCTTAGGTTACGTCGGCCATTTGCTGAGGGGGTTGCGGATCGGGGGGTCTTGTTGGGACCATCTCGATGGACCCGATTTGATAGCGGCTCAGACCATGGTGAAAGGGGATGGGGACCCCTTCATTGCAGTCCTTAATGTGGGATCGCGAACGGCCGTGGTTCCTCAAGGGACCGTGCTTGCACACGCAACGCCGGCACCCTATGAGGAACCTCTCGTGGGTCAGGTGAGCACCGATTCTCCGTCGCGACCACATTCGGACTGTGATGACGGATGGCTGGATGCGCTTTGCGCGGGATCAGTGGACCTGTCCGACTCACAGCGTGAGAGGCTGCGAGTTCTGAAAGAGTTTGCCGACGTTTTTAGTCGACACAAATTTGATATTGGTCGTACTAAATTGCTGCGACACCACATTGACATGGGTGACAGCGCGCCAATCCGCCAAAATCCCTTTCGGTTGAGTCCCGCCGAAAAGGATCATGTCAAATCGGCCGTTGAGAACATGCTAGCCGCCGATATCATATCCCCTTCCAACAGCCCGTGGGGCGCACCGATCGTTTTGGTGAAAAAACACGACGGCTCACTGCGGTTTTGTGTCGACTTTCGGCGGTTGAACAAAATTTCAGTAGCCGACGCGTACCCGCTTCCTCGAATGGATGAGTCGCTTGATGCCTTGGCGGGGGCGCGATTCTTTTCCACCCTGGATTTACTTTCTGGATTCTGGCAGCTTCCTCTGGATGACGAATTTAAACCTAAGACTGCTTTCCGTACACCGCACGGCCTTTTCCAATTTAACCGCTTGCCGATGGGCTTACATTCTGCGCCGGCAACTTTTCAGCGGTTAATGGAACTGGTCTTGGCGGGCTTGCAATGGGATTCGTGCTTAATTTACTTGGACGATGTCATCGTCTTTAGCAAAACATTCGATGAACACCTCCAGAGGTTGCGTGCTGTTTTTCTCAAAATGCGGGATGCCAATTTGAAATTTAAACAGCAGAAGTGCCATTTGCTCCGCGAATCGGTGCGGTATTTGGGTCATATTGTTGGTCGCTCGGGGATATCCACAGATCCCGCCAAAACGGAATGCGTCAGCTCCTGGCCGACTCCCACCTCGGTGGGGGAGGTCAGGAGTTTCATTGGGTTCGCGTCGTACTACCGACGATTTGTGGCTGACTTCGCTACGATCGCGAAACCCTTGCATGCCTTGACGTCCAAAAGAGTCAGGTTTCGTTGGGGGCCGGAGGAGGAGGCTGCTTTTCGCTCCCTCCGGGATGCCCTGGTGGGGGCTCCGCCGTTGAATTATCCCGATTTCTCACAACCCTTCTTGCTCGATACAGACGCAAGTAACACGGGCATTGGGGGCGTGCTGTCCCAGCTCATTGGTGGCGTAGAGCATGTGGTGGCTTATGGTTGTCGGGTGTTGTCTCCGGCGGAACAACGGTACTGCGTTACCCATCG